GGTCTGTACTTCGTACCCCAAGGAGCCTGTGATGCCGATCTTACTCGACGACTAAGATGACGAAGGAGTGCACATGCCCCATAATGACGCCCTAGTAATCACCCCACTCATTGATCACGTGAAGGTGAGAAGAGTTCTTATTGACGGTGGAGCGTCGGCCAACATCTTATAGTTCTCGACTTACACGGCCCTAGGGTGGGAAAGGAAGCACTTGAAGCTCAGCCCGATGCCTTTGGTCGATTTTGCAGGGGAGTCAGTCAGTACGGAAGGATGTGTCTCGCTCCCTGTTACCATCGGCGAGGGAGATCAACGAGTAACTAAGGTCGCAGAATTTGTTGTGATAGATCGGAGCTCTGCGTACAACGCCATAATTGGTCGGCCCTTGATTCATGATCTTAGGGCAGTTCCATCCACTTATCACCAGGTCTTGAAGTACCCCACCTCGGCCGGAATTGCGACAGTCCGGGGTGAGCAAAAGACGTCCAGAGAATGCTACGCAACCGCAATGAAGGGAACAACCACTTGTGCAGCGGTCACGGACGCGGCGGAGCCATGTGCCGATGAACCAGAGCCTAACCGCGGTACCCCGGCTGAAGAGCTAGAACTTGTCCCCCTATTGGGGCTAGAAAATCAGGTCAGCATCGACAGCGGACTGTGGGTCGAGGTAAAAGAAGAGCTCGTCGGTTTTTTGCAAGCAAATCTGACGTGTTCACATGGTCTCATGATGACATGTCGGGTATAGACCCTAGTATAATGGTACATAGGCTAAATGTAGATCCTAGCTATACGCCTGTGAGGCAAAAGCGTCGGCCTGTCGACGCCGAGCGAAGCAATGTATTTTGTAAAGAAGTCGAGCAGTTGCTACAAGCTAAATTCATAAGAGAAGTTCATTACTCGCGTGGTTATCTAATGTAGTCTTGGTTAAAAAGTCCAACGGCAAATGGCGCGTCTGTATTGACTTTACGAGCCTCAATAAGGCGTGCCCGAAAGATAGTTTTCCCCTACCTCGGATAGATCAGCTCGTCGACGCAACAGCAGGGCATGAACTCCTCTCCTTCATGGATGCCTACTCCCGGTACAATAAGATGCAGATGCATGCGCCTGACCAAGAGCACACCGCCTTTGTTACCGATCAAGGGTTGTATTGCTACAACGTCATGCCTTTCGATCTGAAGAATGCCGGGGCGACCTACCAGCGGATGGTCAACATGATGTTCGCCAAACAGATCTGACGCAACATGGAGGTATATGTAGACGACATGTTGGTAAAAAGTAAGCAGACGAGCTCCCACTTAGCCGACCTGACAGAGGCCTTCAGCGTGCTTCAGAAGTATCAGATGAAGCTCAATCCGAGCAAGTGCGCCTTTCGGGTTTCGTCAGGAAAGTTCCTCGGGTTCATGGTCCACGAACGCGGAATTGAAGCAAATCCAGACAAGATAAAAGCAGTCCTCGAGATGGAGGCGCCGAGGA